TCTTTAATGTCCTTTTCTCTGCCACTGTCACCAGAGTGTCCAGCTTCATGCCGACCACAGAGCCAGCCTTCCTGATCAGTTTCTCCAGCCTGGATGAGTCCCTCTTTGCTGTGCTGCTCCCCCAGCACACCACAGCATAGAAAAGTACTCCAGCAACCACTGACTGGTAAAACATCCTCAGGAGCTTCCTGTAGATGTTAAAAGACCTCAGCCTCCTGAGGAAGTACAGTCGGCTTTGGGCTTTTTTATACAGGTGCTCTGTGTTGCATGAGTAGGCTGCCCAACTATTATTAAGTATTATTTATTTTTGGAAAACAAACTTGTTTTCACTTTATGTATGTTTATGTATGTTGCTAAACATCAAAATAATTTTTTACTAAACAATGTAATGCATGCTACATATGTAGTATATCCACATAAAAAAAAAGGCGGTTTCATAAATAAATTTAATAACAGTCACCGCAGGCACATTTTGGGACCAGGCCTTATATTTGGCACCCCTGCTCTTAGTTTTCATTAAACTTGAAACAAAGAAACTACAGAGAATTTTTGTCACAGTAAAGCCCTGTGTGCAAAGATAGAACTGATAAGTCATTTTCACATCTGACTGACTGTATTGATTTGTTGAATATCTTAGGTTCATCAAAGTTGTACTGTCTGCGTTTTGCAGTATAAAGAGACAGACACAGATTAGTTAAGTGCCATAATAGAGCTTTGACAGCTGAAGAGGTTAGAAGTCAGAACAATAAGATGCAGCCATAAATAAGAATTGGATTCATGAATGAAACGTCAACCTTCTGGCACTGCTCCTCTGCTTGTGTGTGCATGCACAGAAATATCCATGAACATGCATGAGAATTTATGCGATGAGGCTTGCTGCCCTGTGCGTCCGGCCTTGCGTCACTTAGAAGCAAAAAGAGGAGAGCGGGGTGACGACAGGGCACATCTGTCTGAAGATCTGTCCACTCTTCTGAACATTTACGCAGACAGCTAAAAATATACTGCGACAGGCTGCATAGAGAGCCTGCTGGGAGCCAAAGAAGCACTCGAGATTTGATGCATGCTTCTTTTTTTCCCTCTGCCTTTCTGATTCAGAAAGAGTGAAAGATGTCATCGTATGACAAAGACAACAAGAGTAAAACCCAAGAAGTGTGAGCCTTGAGTTTGTTGTAAGTAGGAGAACAAAAGCACGGTGATTAGATGAGCAGTTGTCGTGAGTCAATCACTCTGCCTCCCACTGGGAGCCTGTATAGCCCATTTTTTTTGGCACAGACGCAACTTGTGACGTCCTTTTGACAATTGCTTTATATGTGCCCAAAAATATGACTTCCAGAGCCACTGTGAGAGACACTGCTATTCCGGTAACACCATATTTGCTCCTGACTTTGGAGTAGGCAAACACATCCGTCTGGTGCTCTGCAGGGTTTTTCTCTCACTTTTCTTCTTGTTTGTTTTGGATGCCGTCTCTCAGCCATCCCGCACGAGTCCACATTTGGGAATCGTGCAAAATTATTAGAGAATATGGGACAGGAGCCCCTGGGACCCGCATTCATCTGTCTCCCTGTTTACAGAGGATAACAGGAAGCGCTTTCTCTGGAAGAGCCAGAAAAGTGGATTTAATAAAAAACTTTGCAGGTTTTAGCAGAACGGGATGACGCAAATTCAAGTCCAAAAAGTTAATCAACTTGGGTCCCAACACTTTATCTACGGCTCAGACAGCTCAGTAGGCTGAGCCAGAGATCTGTAGCCATAGATTAGTTATTTAAATTTGTTCATTTCATGAAACAATTTAAAAGCTTTTATTTAATTAAAAAAACAGCAAATCTGTTACATGTCTTAAGCCTCTTTGTCTTATCCACTGAGCAACTAGGCCTGCTGAGCCGCTACATTGTATGGATCATTGTACATAAACAATGCTCTAATGACCAGCCAACTGTAGAAGATGTACTATTTGAACAAAGTCCAAAAAACATCAAAAATACAGAGCTGCGACATGAGGGACATAGAGAGAAAACACAGGGAGCAGAGGTGGCAAAAGTACAGCCTCTGAAATGTACTCAGAGTAAGAAAGTAAAAAATAGCTCCTTGAAGGACAATTCTACCAAACATTTTTGTACTAAGGTAACTGAACCATGTGCAGTATTACTATAATAATTCTAATTCTAATGAACGTACTCAGCTTGAATCTGTTCTGTGGGACATAAACACAGATAGATCATTTAAAAAAAAAACGTTCTGTTGATACATTGATGGGGACTGTGCCTCCACACCTAAACACTAAACTAAGTACAGTCAGTACTTAGTGTAAAGGCTGTGTTCAGCTGACCAGCTGCTCTTTGTGGCTGTACACAACTGAATTCAACCAGATGTCAGAAGATGTTTCACAGCTATCTCAGCTGACTTCCATTTTCTACACTGACATTATACTATTTATAGAGTGAATGATCATCATCATCATCTTAATTGTTAATTAGTCTATTACAGCTGATGTAAACCAACACTGACCATGGGCACCACAGATACTATGCAGCAGTTCAGTGCAGTTCTTTACAATAAATTCACCACAGTACGACAAGCTGACCTCCTTATCCCATACAAACTACCCAGGATTTTATACGTGACTCTTGAATAACACAAAGTTAGTATATCTTTGTTTGTTTTGCAGAAATATCCAGTCTGTGATTGAAGTGATGACATCACACGCAAGCTTTAAATTTGCAGTTTATAAAGTATCACTGAACAGTTCTTACCTTTAAACCTAGCCTAACACTTGCACTCCTTCCCAAGTATAAATGCTACAGAGGAACCTTTTTTAAGCATTTGTTTAAAAAAATGTAAGCAGTAGGAAGTTCAGATATTTTCTGTTATGGTGGCAAAGTGAGGACCTGCTGATTTACAATATGAGAAGCTATTACAGAGTGAGTAGAGATAAACAAAATAACACAATGACAGGCAACACAAAAGGGCTCAGACATTTTAGTGCACGTTTGAGGTTTGGATAATAATAATAATATTTAACACAATTTAGTGGGCTACACACTGAACTTATAGGGTAAAACAAAGTATCGATCCTGTTGCACTAGTATCGAGCCGATGCCAGTACCAGCACTGGTATCAATACGATCAAAATTTGGGTCGATCCACCCACCTCTAGCTAAAAGCTTTTGTAACAGCGATGGCGCCGAAAGCAGGTAGGTGTGTGAATCCTAAATGCTACACTGCACCACTGAGATAAGTTTGTTTCCAGATCTTACACACACACTGCACGCTGTCTTATACAGTCTATAGCTACAGCAGCTGTCCGGTTTGGATTGGAATTTATCTGCGGAGTTAAAATCAGCAGGAGAAAGTTGGTCAAATGTTTACATTATGCGCTTCTTCTTTTTTTTTACGTATTCACATGAAATGTCTGAGCATTTAATAATGTAGCAGGTTAAGTTCACTCCCCTGCCTTATCCAGCATTACATTCTGCAACACAATGCAAGCCCCTTTGTGTTATGAAACCATCACGTAACAGCACGTGCGCTGTTCAGGTCGTCGAGGGAGGAAGCGCAAAGCGGAGGCAGAGGAGCAGCAAACACCAGCAGGGAAGAAGAAGGAGCGAGGAGAGGAGGAAGGCAAAAGAGTGGTCATTGAACACTGGTGAATACACTAATCACATGATTATAAGCGGTGTAGTAAATACCCAGATCAACCACTGCTGTTGTCCACTCACTACTTATTATATGGTTTTATTCATTTTTAGTTTTTCCTTCTGAAATTTCAGTTTAAAAAAATCAGATGCTGTTGACTAGGTCATATAATCGTAAGACATTAATATAAATCCATTTTACAATATAAAAAACATCCATCCATTCTCTTCTGCTTATCCTTGTCAGGGTCGTGAGGTGTGTGGGTGCTTGATTGAAAAAGATTACTTTTAACAATGACAAATGCAACTGAGTATTTCATCTACAAAGTGGTACTTAAACAGTAAATTGTCTGTTTAGATTCTACAACAGTATTCTATGTTATGCAATTATTTTACGACTAATTCATAAATAAAGTAAAATCAAGTATAATTCTTTACTATAAAGAAAGAAAGTATTTTCTCTTTTGCATTCAAAGTTGTCCTTGGGCTTAGTACTTTCTTAAATGTACTTTTCTAATAAAAGCACCTTATGCGCCTGCACAGATGGCTACCTTATAGTTTACCTGTTGCTTCCTGCAGTAAAAGCTGACGAGTGTATAGGCATAATGCTGAGGAGGTGAAATCTGCCCTCCTGGCTGCCTGTCCTGCACTGCCTGTGATCCTCAACCCTGAGAAACCCCGCAAGAAGAGCTTCGAGATCACTCTTATGGATGGAGACAAAGGTTAGGAAGATGAAAAGGAAAATCCGAGATTAACCCACCCATTTTAGTGTTGCACAGGGGAAATATTAATGTTTATAGTAGCTATATCGACTGTACAGGGATTGTTAAGCATTTGGTTTTTCACTCACTCTGTATTATCACAGGACTTGCTTTGGATTGCCATGTTCACATCAAAAATATTTCCTACTCGCAATCTTCTAAATGACATTGCTCCTCTTTTCTCTGATTCCAAAAGAAACATGCCTGTGGACTGGAATAAAGAAGGGTCCGCCTGCTAGGCTGAAGTTTCCTCAGCCTGATGTAGTAGTTGCTGCTCTACAGGAGGCTCTGAAAGTTGAGCGGATGCCAAAGTTTGCCAAAGCTGTTGCACAGAAAACATCAGCTACAGATTAAGTAAGAGATGTACGTTCCCCCTAATTTAATCTGGCTGTCAGTTGAAACAAGTTGTAGATATTTCTTCTTTTATAATTATTTTATTTTGAGGCAAACATCCATCCATATTATTTGTGGAAAATCTCAGGCTACGCTGAGCTGTTGATGATGCTTTGCCTGTGTTTATTGGAAAGAACTGACTATTCCTGTCCAATGTTTATGTTTTAGCCCAGCGTTCAGGAGATGTGACCAGTGGAAGCACAAAATGATGAGGAGTGACCAAGGAGATGTTCTCAGTCCCTCCTCTGATGAGTCAAGTGCCAACTGTTGTCATCTTCTGGACACATGAGGTCATCTGGTGGAGCATAATGATGCTAATGATGTTTTTATATGTGTTTTGGTAAATTAGAGATTTTCTTTGTTACTTTTTAGATTTTTTACTTACTCTAGCCAAACACTTAATTGTTTTGTGCAAGTTAATTTTGCTGTGTTCAACTGGATGACTTGATACAACAATAAATCATGTTTTTTTTTCTGTCCATCCACTTTCTTTATTATGGTCACAGGGGGTCTGAAGCCCATCCCAGTTGTCCTTGGTAGAGGCAGGGTACACCCTTCACAGATCGCCAATCTATTGCAGGGCTAAAATGGAGATACAATCAACCATTCATATTCACATTTACGCCTACAGCCAATTTAGAATCGCCAGTTAGTCTAATTAACTTAACCCAATGAATGTTTTTGGACTTTGGGAGGCTGGAGACTGCTCAATTCAAACACTGGACATTCTTTCTGCAAAGCAACAATGGTAACCATTACTGTGTTGCACTTTTGACCTTTTCCTAAATGTAAATCAGCAGGACCAAGATAAACACAAAAAATATGTTTAATTTACTCAGGCAGGAACACACATAACCCTTTAAATCAGGTAACACACGTTCACTGCTTTAACTTTATATGCTTAAGTGTGTTGTCACCATACAAACACCATGTATTCCTGTTCATGTATAGGTACATACAAAGATAATGAAAGCACACTTATGCTAATGCTGTATGTGTTTAACAAACGGTTTGCATTTTTCTTTAAATGCAGCTTTAGTTAAATTACAGTAATTATATTAACACATTAGAAATAATAACGATAGATCTCATTTTCATTCATGCTCAGAAAACTTCCTACTAATGGTTTCGCCCAGCCAAACTGAAACCCCCTTCCCAAATATATTGGTACAGTCGACATGCGCGCGCCAAAGTTTTGTAACAGCAATGGCGTCCAAAGCAGGTGGGTGTGTGTTATAGGAATGTAAACAATACCGTATTTTTTTTCTACAACAAAAGCTGTAACGGAGTTTGTCTGAGGAGGAAGACGGTTGTACCATTTTGATCCAGCGGTTATCATCTCCATGACTGTTTCAGCCTGTCTTTGTAGGTCATTTAGCTGAATGGCTACATGCACCGGAGCAAAGTAGTAACTGCGAAGATATTTACATTATTCACTTTCTAAACTCGTTAAATGTAGCATGAGTCGGCACGCTGACCTTTCTGACCATGTTTATTATGCAACGACTCATTAAATGGGTCATTATTATTACTATTCTGTTGGGTTATGAAACTTCTCAGCTTGCACGTGCCCCAGTCCTCCTCTACTCACTCTCCTCCCACCAAGGGCATGACAGGAGGAGTTGGAGCATTAGGCATTTATAAAACAGACCTCTTTACTTCATTTTATAAGGTTATACATTAAATATGACATGTAGCACAGCTGCATCCGAAATTATTTTGTACTCGAGTTCTGTGACAAACTGGCGATCACAGTGTAAACCCCATGTCTCCCTATTTAAGCTGGGAGTCTTACAGCCCAACTGCAATCCTGAACTGAATAAACAGAAGAAGATGGTGGATGGATGATTGCTTTACTTTTGGGCTTTTGTAAGACTCTACTAAGGCCAAAGACACCTTAGGCTAAATAAGTAGGTGGGTGGGCATAGGACCAGCATTCACCAGGAAGGGGCCTATGGTTTTATTTAACCATGGCAAGGGAAGCAACATGTGCCAGCTACTTGCAAAGGATCAAGTAAATCGATGAACTGCATGTATTTTTTCTTTTGGGAAACTGACTTCTTTTGCCTACATACTTCACTTGCACATTGTGCATCACTGGCCTTTTGATTGTGAATTTGAATTTCACTTTTTGACAATCAGCCACTAAAGATACACCCTTGAGTCCTCAATTGTAGCTTCTTGTGCAGGCCACTGTCTCCTCTGTCTTATTGATGTTTTTAGAAATTTTCCATTCAGTATTGTGCGGCCTGATTGAATTCTGGGTCATGGACAAAAGGACAGAGGATAAATGAGATATGGAGGCACAAATTCAAGAAACAGCCAAACACAAAACTGCGCATGTGTGTTTGTAGGTCGTGGTGGGAAGAAGCGCAAAGCAGAAGTTCAAGCAGAGGAGGAGAAACCCTCAGTGGAGGAAAAGAAGGGCAGAGGAGAGGATGAAAGCAGCCAGGAAGGCCTCAGGGTGGTCATTGAACACTGGTAAAGAAAAAAATATGTAATCACGTTATAATCAGTGGTGAAGGAAATGCTAATTGTGTTTATTTAAAGTGAGTAAATATAGCCCCCATTTTAAAATACTTAAACACTTTGGTTTTTATTTTTAATTAAGTATCAGAAGTGAATGCATTGATTAGGTGGAAAAAAACAATAGTTCTCATGAAATCTGTTTATATTATTATTGAACCAGAACCAAAATAGATAACATCACAGTTCACTGTGTAACTCAACTCTTAAAATCTGCAAAAAGATGTAATCTTGATGTGTCACTTCTGGCAGTAAAAGCTGACGAGTGTACGGGCGTAATGCTGAGGAGGTGAAATCCGCCCTCCTGGCTGCCCACCCTGAACTGACTGTGGTCCTCAACCCTGGGAAACCTCGCAGGAACAGCTTCGAGATCACTCTGCTGGACGGAGGCAAAGGTAAACAGGATTTACTCAGCAATGTGGATCTTTCATTGTAAAAAAAAAAATGATACAAATGACATTTTCTTCCTGATTCCTAAAGAAACATCTCTGTGGACTGGAATAAAGAAAGGCCCACCTCGTAAGCTGAAGTTTCCACAGCCTGATGTGGTAGTTTCTGCTCTGCAAGAGGTTCTGAAGGCTTAGACACCAAGTGAAGGTTTGGCAAAGCGGTTTGACTGAATAATGAATGCATAAAAAACAGATAGAAAATAAGAAAATTCAGCTTTACTTCTTATTTACAGTAAACTGGTAACTCATGTAGCTTTGTAAATAGAATCAAGTCAAAATGCCTTATGAATTGCAATGCAGCTGTTCAGTGAACAACAGTTGTGTATAAGTGTCTTTTTAACAAAACTTTTCCCATGTTATTTGCAGCCCAACATTCAGGAGATGCAGCCAGTGGAAGCAAAAATGATGAGAAGTGACCAAGGAGATGTTCTCAGTCCCTCCTCTGATGAGCCATGCTCTAACTGCTGCCATCTTCTGGGTGCATGGTGACACCTAGTGGAGCTTAGTCGAGCCAAAGCATTTCTCTGGCACATTACTGCTGTTTACTGTTGTGTTTCACAAACGTTCAGTTGTGGTTTTATGTCTGTTTTGTTTTTGGGGTTTTTTGATAAATAAAATCTTTTTTGGGGTAATTGTGTGTATTTTGTTACAACTATCCAAACACTCAGCTGTTATTATGGAAAGGTTTTCTTATTTTTATTCAGGAACCAAGTGTGGAGAAGAAAACTAGAGATACAATTTGTGTGTTGAAACACATTAATGCTCACATGCATTCAGAAAGTGTAGCAATGTTTTTGATTGACTCAATACTATAAAACCACTATTAGCATTTATATTTTTATTAACAACATATTGCAACTCTTGGCAAATAAAGTACATGTTACTAATTGATAGGATTAATAGTTTTAAACAGCTGGCAAAGCACCTTGTATCATATTTTAGAAGGTTGTGCAATTACATTCACCTAAGCAATGGCCTTAATTAGTAACTTGAGGGCTCTGATCTTAGTCTTGTGCAAAATAGTCATCTTCCAAACGTGATCGCAAATATTTGCTAAAAACGGTTGCTGGTATTTAAAAAGTTTTAAATCACTTGTTGGCCTTAAGAAATGAGTATATCAGAAGAACAGCTGAGGTTAAGCAGTTTGGAGACAAAGTTAGAGAGGAAAGGAGATGGTTAGAACATGTGCAATGGGTACATTGGATAAAGTATGTTCAATGTGGAGTTTCCAAACAGGAGGAAAGAGGAAGACCACAGAGAAGGTAGTGAAGGAAGACACGCAGAGGGTTTGCGTGACAACGGGGATAGAGTGAGTTGGAGACGCGATCCGTTGTGGCGACCCCAAAAGGAAGCAGCCGAAAGAGGAAGATTTGTTAATCTGTCTGTAATCTATAATCTGTCAAATGTCTCTTGTGTGAATGATATCAAGCCATTTTGATCCCCCCAAAACATTCCTGTCACAAGGTAGAAGCTACAATGAATTTCGTGTCATATGCCAAGCTAATATAAACAAGTCGCGTTGTGAGGACGTCACACAATGACACCGAAAACGCGATCGTCTGCCAAGTGTTTGCGAAATGTTGCTTTGTTTTGTTTTTGCCTTAAATATAAACAAGGATAGCAGACACACAAAAAGGATTCAAAGTCTTCCGTTTTTGGCAGACGAACATTTTGTTTGAATAATCGCCGGGGTGTGACGTCATTGTCCCGCGACCAGGCAAGTCGACTCAACGGTTCCTCATGAGCACGGGGCCGATTTCCTTCTACAATAAGTCTTGAAATTGGTGCGTAACTTTTATATATTACAAATTAATACGTTTTAGACTTTTGCTTGACGTTTCGAGAATCGTCTGGGCGGGTTTGTAAGCAGTGATTGGACCTTTGCTAATCTTAGAAAGGTCGAATTAGCCGTGGCTCCGCTAGCTGGTTTGTTGATTTAAGTGGTTTCCCTCTTAACTTTACTTGAACCTATCATTGTCCGTAATCGGGTGTGTTTTTGTAATTTGACTTAAACGTTTCACTTTACAGGTAGCCAAGATTAATTACGCCGCCGTGGTTTTAGGACAAAACCACTGAAGTGTGTTTCCATTTCAGAATATCGTGGGCCTTCTTCTGGAAGGGCTGGAGTTGTGTTGTATTTTATGATTGCTTTTAGCATCGTATATAGAAAACATTTTTTAAAGAATAAATATGTTGAAAATATATGGACCAACTTTGGAGCATAACATTTTTAGGGAAGTCGAAAATGATCGAGCAGAAAATGTTCAAAAAATGACTCATGATCTCAGATTGACTAATCCTGCAGAGGGAAAACACCGATCACATCACAGTATTTAAACAATTCCATCTTTTACTCTGTGTGATCAAGTTTATCTTTTATGCATACAATGTTAAAACACCAAATTAAAAATAATGTGAGGGGTAATGCTAGAGTTAAAATTAGTGTTATTAAAAAGTTGTAAAACTACAGTGGTTAGCTTGTGACTTTAAAATGCAAATACTTAATAAAGATCCATGTTAACACACTTTCCTTTAAGCATTGCTTTATTAGAGAAGCTATGTGGAATGTTTTGTTGTATTACTACGCTATGTATGCATGTAACTTTTTTCTTTTCAGCATGCTACTTCTGCCAAATTATTGCAACCTAAAGTTTCTCGTTGACAGTCATGGCAACAGAGGGGGTGGAAAAGACGAGTGAAGATGCTCCAGCAGCTGGAAAGGCCAGCACCAGGTATGACCTGGAAAAGGAGACTGAACTTCGCTTTGAGGTGGAGTCAGGGGAAGCAGCTGAACAAGTTGAGCTGGAGCTGCTCACAGGAATGGCTGAGGTGTTTGGCTCCGAGCTAAACCGAAACAAAAAGTATACATTTGGACCAGGCTCTAAGATTGCAGTTTTCACTTGGCAAGGCTGTAGTGTGAATCTTTATGGGAAGCCAGAGGTAAGCACGTGGATGAGAATACTTGCAGATTTAGGAAAGTTCAAATGTGTCTGTTGTGTTACATTTAGTCGCATCATTGTGTGTTTCACTTTGGGGAAAAAAGACAAAGCCACAAATACCATCATCTTGCTTTCATCACCGCAGGTTGCTTATGTGTCCAAGGATACGCCCATGCTGCTCTACCTAAACACACATGCAGCCCTTGAACAGATGAGAAAACAAGCAGAGCGTGACAATGAGAGGGGGCCAAGGGTATGTTTGAATGGGGAACTACTTCATATAGTAACTTATCAGATCCCATGAGTGCTTCTTGGATTAATGCTAAATTATAAATCGACCCTCAGGTGATGGTGGTGGGACCGACAGATGTTGGGAAGTCAACGGTGTGTCGGCTGCTTCTCAGCTATGCTGTGAGGGTTGGAAGGAGGCCAACATTGGTGGAACTGGATGTTGGACAGAGCGGGGTAAGATCAAGTGGAATTACCATTATAAATATCAAACAGTCGGCTGGTATTTAAAATATTGCATATCACAGCCTGCAGACTCAGCTGTCTTGATTTTGTGCAAAGTGATGCTAAAGCATGTACAGCATCTACTTTGTTTATTTAGCTTTATAGCTGTGATGATCCCCCTGTTTGTCTGCCCATGTGGCTTTTTCTGTTTTATCAGATGCACAAGTTCTGGAAAAAAAATCTTGACATCTGTTTTAATATCTGTACAAAGAAAAAGAACATTAGTCTTTCGGTTGTTTAGTCACTGGTGTTAATTCAAGTCATTGCAGTAAAGAACAAAGAATTCTACACAGGATTGAGAGCACTGAATTCCTCCTTTCATTTATTAAAGGGAAAAACTATCCAAACGTACCTGGTCCTGTGTGAAAAAAAGTATTTGCCCCCTAAATCTAGTGACTGGTTATGCCATCATTTTCAGGAAAAAACTACAATCGGGTATTTGCGATATCTGGGAATAACTTTCAGATCACTTTGGAGGAATTGTGGACCACTTTTCTTTGCAGTAGTTTTAATTCAGCCACACTGGAGGGTTTCCAAGCATCTCAATTTGATTTATGTCCAGGCTTTAAGTAGGCCACACCAAAGTCTTCATTTTGTTTTCTTACGAGTCATTCAGAGGTGGACTTGGTGGCATGTTTTGGATCATTGTTATACTGCATAAGCTAAGTCCGCTTGAACTGATCGACACTCAGGATTTTCTCATAGAGAGCATAGAGGTTCCATAATTTACAGCACCCTAGACTATCGTACTACCAGCACCATGTTTGCTGATTAAAATAGTTCCACTTTTCTCTCATTAGTCCACAAGTCTTGGGGATTATTAAGTTGTTTTTTGCCAAATGTGAGATGAGCCTTTGTGTTCTTTTTGGTTAGCAGTGGTTTTCTCAATTTTAGCAGGGGTTTTCTCATTTGATTTCTCCCATGGATGCCATTTTTGCCCAGACTTTCTTATTGTTAAGTCAAAAACACTGACCTTAACAGAGACAAATGAGGCCCACAGTTCTTTAGATATTGTTCTGGGTTCTTTTGTGTCCTCCTGGATGAGTCATCGATGCACTCTTGAAGTAATTTTGGTTGGCCAGCCACTCCTGGCAAGGTTCACCAATATACCAAGTGTTCTCCATTTGTGGCTAATGGCTTTCACTGTGGTTTACTTTGCAGTCCCAAAGCCTTAAAAATGAATTTGACCCTTTCCAGACTCATAGAAGTCAGAGAGTTTGTTTCTCAACTGTTTCTTTAGATTGTAGCACAATGTATTTCTTTTAGCCCACTTCACATTGTCATACAGGATCTATATTTCTTGATTCAACAGGTCTTGTAGTAATCAGACCTGGGTGTGGCTAGTAAAATTGAGCTCAGGTTTCCAGAAAATGTGGTTAATCATAGTTGATGATTCAATAAGGGAGCAGATTACTTTTTCACACTGGTAAGTTTAGATAGCTTTTTTCCCTTAATAAATGAAATTGTCAATTTTTTTTCCCATTTACTCAGGTTACCTTTGTCTAATATTAAAATTTGTTTAATCTGAAACATGTAATTGTTTACAATTACAAAAAAAAATTGTCAATATACCAAGTATTTTTTTTAAGGAATGGATCACCTAATAAGTATACTTATTGGAACAATAAGGGGATAGGTGTTCGTGCCTTTGTTGGTAATATAGCATATGAAGCAGTTTGGTCAAAGTTTGTAAATTACAGTATGTCTGTTAATAAAGTATCTGTGTTAGTCATTTGATTGCACTCTATGTTGACTGTAAAGATCTGAACAATGCTGAACAGGACATTTGTTTTATGTGGGACACAGACAAAGTGGCTTTCTTCATATGATGCAGCATGATTAGTGCTTCCACAGATGGTATCATGTATCTTCTTTTTTGTTGGTTTTTGGGGGGGTTGTTTGTTTGTTTGTTTGTTTGTTTTAATCTGCTTTGGGTTTTCTGTTTTTTGTGGATAATCTAAAGACCTTAATTTTAATTTTAAAAAATGCAGTTGTTATCAGTTTGAGTAGTAAAAGAAAATTCTGCTCCTTCAGGTGTCTGTACCCGGCACAGTGTCAGCGCTCTGCATCGAGCGTCCAGCGGACGTGGAGGAGGGTTTCTCAGTCCAGGCTCCTTTGGTCTACCACTTTGGCTCTACTAGTCCAGGGACCAACATCAAACTTTACAACAAGGTAAAAAAAAGAATGAGTCTAGACCCTTCCTGACATAGTCTGGAGACAAAACTTTAAATTTTTCGTACGTTGTCTTTACCTGTTGAGCATTTAAATCTTTTTGTCACAACATGCAGCTGACATCGTGCCTGGCTGAGGTGTTTTCCCAGCGCTGTGAAGTGAACAGGAAAGCCAGTGTAGGAGGCTGCATCATCAACACCTGTGGCTGGGTGAAGGGCTCTGGATACCAGGCTCTGGTCCACTGTGCGTCAACCTTTCAGGTGGATGTGGTTCTGGTATTGGACCATGAAAGGCTCTACAATGAACTCAAAAGAGACCTCCCTCACTTTGTGCGGGTTGTGCTCCTACCCAAGTCCGGGGGAGTCGTGGAACGCTCCAAGGAGTGTCGGCGGGATACTCGGGATGAGAAGATCCGCGAGTATTTCTACGGCTTCCGTGGAGTCACCTTCTACCCCTTTTCTTACGAAGTGCGTTTCTCAGACGTTCGCATCTATAAAATTGGTGCTCCATCCATCCCGGACTCATGCCTGCCACTGGGAATGTCCCAGGATGACACACAGCTAAAACTGGTGCCTGTTACTCCAGGAAGAGACCTCACATACCACGTCCTAAGCGTGAGCAGTGCTGAAGACGGAGATGAAGGTGCTAGAAAGGGCATAGTGGAGAGTCCTGTGTGTGGCTTTATTGTGGTGACTCATGTAGATACTCAGACACAGGTGATGAAGGTGCTCTCCCCAGCACCTAGACCCCTGCCCAGGCATACTCTGCTCATCATGGACATTCGCTTCATGGATATGAAATGAAGCAGGCCCTCAGAGGAGAGGACTTGGATCGAAGACGTCCTGCTGGGTACCCTTTTTATTTTAAGGCTATCTTGTTTGTACTTTACAGAGAAAACATTTTAAGTGTTGAAATTCGGAATGCATCATTTTTTGTGGTTCATGTGAATCCAGTTTTCAGCCTGTTTCATACATTTTATGATTTAATTTCTACTTATTCAACAATAAGATGATGGGAGCAGGGTTTTTTATACTGAAGATTTTTGGTCTCATTGCACAGAAGAGGGAATTAAATAAGAAAAAAACATTACTCTCTACACTAGCCGTTGGTCAATTTGTTGTGTTATCAATTTTAGCATGAGCTGGGAATTGGTGCATCCCTAATAGAAATTGAAAGCAGCTGTAAATTCTAGACCACACTGCACAGATGTCTGTAGAAAAGGATTTTTTTTTTATCAAAGCAAAGATAAAATATTTTTCTTCATAATCTGTTTCATAGAGATTTTTTTCTCTTGAGTAATAAATTTTTTAAATGTAAAAAATTGTGTGAGTTTGTTTTTAATTACACTATCTGACTATCAGTATGTTTCCCTTACTAACAAACAATAATTTAATTATCTGCATACCCAATATGTAATGAGCTGAGGATGGAACACACTTAATGAACTTAATTCTAACCCAATCAAACCTGGGAATACTTTGCAGTTTTATAACCTTTCCTAAAGAAATTTAATGTTTTATTCAGTAGGTCTTCTGTTTTGACAAAAGAAAGGCAAATAATAATATCCTGTAGGCTTCATTAAAACACACACAGTACTAGCATGCTAGTGATTGTTTGGGAGCACTACACTAGCAGGTCATTTAATAATTTGTTCTGTAAACACTTACCAGCTTACCAAACCATACCAGATGCTATTTTAATTTTTTAGAGTAACAGCGTTTCTATGTATGACAACATGACTTATAAGCATACACAAAAACAACACTGTGTGATGCATAATACGTGCAAATATCTCAAACTAAGTATATAATAAATAAGTAGATATTTAAATGTAAGCACGTGGTTCAAAAAAATAATATTGGATAGATTTGTTGTCTGAATCTTTTCTTGCTAATATTTTGTGGGGTTTTTTTTGTTTTTTTGTTTTTTTCTGAACCTTTTTGTTTTATTAAATTACTTAATTTTTCTTTTCTATTCCCTGCCTGCCATATGTAGTGTTTCTTTGCACCTACTTTATGCATGTCAGTGTTAACCATTTGTCATAACCAGCAGGGTGTGGATTAATCGTAGGTGGGTCTTTTGTGGAGGGTTGAGATGACCATCTGGAACGTAGATTGTGAATTTTGTGGAAAAGAAACCGTGTAAAACCATTTCAAGTGGGTGTACCGTCAAAATATTTTCACAAACAGCTTATGGCAAATAAAACTCCTTATTAAAAAATATAGAAATCAGTATCTGGTGTGACTGCTGTTTTCTTTTTAAACAGCAGTTGTTCTCTTTGGTGTATAGCATTTTTTTCCCCTAAGGTATGTTCCAGGTGGGTTGTTTTAAGCATTTTCGGTGGATTTGCCACACTAATGTGAATTTAAGTTTTAAAGCTGTTTTCAAGCAAAACTGCCCTTTCTTTCTTTCTTGTTTGTGCTCCTTGCAGCTTCACTGTTACAGCTTTATTCCTCTCATTCATATGCATGTATTCTATCTTGCTTTGTTAACTTTCCTCTTCTCTCTCCAGGCTCTCTTCTATCTGCTTCATACTTTCACTACAGATCACAACGTTATCTGCAAACATTATAGTCCACAGATACTCCTGGCTTACCTCATATGTCAAAATGTCCATCACAATTACAAACAAGAAGGGTCTCAGAGCAGATCCCTGATATAAACCCACCCCGACCATGAACCCAACCAACTGATTCACTAACTTTCTGCAAAGCTCTTAAACAAACTCCTTCTATCATCTCAATACACTCTTTCACTGATAAGTATCTTTCCATCTCTATTCTTAACCATCCAAACTGCTGCACATCCTTTCCAGCTTAGTCTCCAGTCTCATAAGCATTTTCCTTTACCAACTAGCCACTAGGAACTCCTGTCTACTGTCTGTCTCCCACTTTTTCTTCGCTACCCTCTTCCATTTGTTGTGCCAAAAGTGATTGCGTGCCAAAAACTGATTTCCAGCGTTTCTGTGTATTTTTACGTGTAATATCTTTATGTATGTTGGTAAATAGACTTCGGTGAACACGGTTTATATAAAAAAAATTATAGAATTAGAAATATAGAATTAAAAAATTATCTGTGTTTCAAGTATCTTTATAACTCTATTTTATTGTACTTACTTTATAACCAATCCGGTCCTGTATCCCCACTTAAAGTATTTTTACAGAACTATTGTAATATTTGCTGCTATTTCTGGAGTCCTCTTGGCCAACTTACTCTTACAAAAGACATTTTTAATGTTAATGAGATTTTTTTTTTAACTGCATAAATAAAGGTTATATAAAAGTCACTGCCAAAAACTGATTGCGGCTTCTACCTTCTTGCACGAATGTTGTTTGTGGCTCAAGATAACTTTATGTCATCCATGAGGGACGCATTTGACATATGTTTCACATATTATAGCCCAACAAGTTACTTAAAGCAGTTTAAATACGAGCAATCCGTTTTTGACAAATACCGGAAATCAGTTTTTGGTAGACGATCACTTTTTGGCACAACATTTTGAACACTTGCCAGTACTTCTTCATTCCACCATTCAAACGCAGCGCTTTTGTTGCATACAAATAGTACCTTATTGTCTTTTAGAAAGTGTATGAAAGTACTCACATGTTCCTAGAACGTAATACATAATCGTTTTAGGGTTAATCTATATAGAATTACTTCTAGTAACAAACAAACAAAAAAAAATACTGGCCCATCACGCACAGTGTTTTTCTTTTCCCAGAGTCGACGCCTTCCATGTCTGTGATTGGCTGGTTGCCCCACCTGAGGCCTGACGGGCTACTTCCGGGATTCCTACGTCGGCCTAGCAGGCGAGCTAAGTAGGTTGCTAGCGGCTAACTCAAGGAGGACCGAATCGACCCACACCCTACAAGCAAGACACCTCGTGTGTTCATGATTAGGTGTGTGTTTTACCTCTTCTTTTTAGCCATTTTTCAGGTGAAATTCGCCACAGTTGTTTCGTCAGTTGTTAATGAAAATCTATTTGCTACTGTACAGCTCTCATGCTAGCCAGATAACTAATGTTAAGCTAACTCTTATAGCTGTGGTAAAGGATCGTACAGTGTCGCAAAAAAACTTTAGGCTAGGTAAAAAGCTCACTGTATGATTACCTACTCAGTATCTTGTGATTTCCAAGTATGGGTCGTGTTTTAATCGGTTTTTGTAGGTCGCGTGGGCTACTACTTCTCTGCGGCTTTTGGATTTAAAACAGTGGTGTGTGTATTTTTATGAGGTTCACGGTGTTGGCAGCTGATTATGATAACGTTAGCTGGTCTTGACTGAATCCTAGCACTGCCCTGGCCTGCTGTTTAACGGTTGGTATGTGTAACGTTTCATTTTGAGATGAAGTCAAAGTCTGTCTATGGGTGTAGATTTAAAGCAGACGGCAAAAATCAAGCGCGAGTATGTCACTGTTACTCGGAAAATGTATTAAATTTGCTTGACCGGTTGTAGCATGCGATGTGTAGATTGTTGCGGTGACATGATAAGCAATGCTCGACACGGAGATTTTAGGATTAACATGTATTACAGTGGTGGGGGGGTAGTTTTGGGGCAAGTGCGATTATTACCTACTGACACCTCTCTCTGCCATTTGTTAGTACGGATGGTTGTTGACGAGAGAGGTGTGTCCAAACGATCAGATTACACTGTTGCTTCGGATCCGTTTTCAGTGTACTCACAGACTAGTTTTTCTACAAGAGTTAAGGAGTATGAGCGTGATTGTGTGTGTGAAAGGCGTGCACCTTTTCCACAGATCGTTGTGTCTGTGTGTTGTTTTCAGTTTCCCTTCGTGGAAGGTATTTCCATCTGACAACCTGAGGTCACTGAGGTGGTGACGGGGTTATGGTGAAATACCCACACTGCTTAAGGCAAGCTTGTAGAGAAAGGAGGAACTTGGTCAGTGAGTCTGGTTTGTTGTGAAATCAAACTAAGACCTTTGGCCTGTGATTTAACAAGGAAATACATTGAAGGCTACCTGCAAAACATTGTAGTATACATGTTTTCAAACATATTTGGTGATTCTATATTCCACGCTTATGGTATGAGATGTATTATGCATTGGCAGTCAGAGATGCAAAGATTTAATTTGCCACCACATAGGACAAAGATAATAAACCCATTACTCTAATCCCGGGTTTCCAAAATGGTCTTCCTAAAGACAGGTAGGACTTCACTTCAGCATTGCAAGGGGGCTAATTCAGAATTAGGAATCAACCTAATCTCATCCTTATCTTTGGACTGTGTGAGGAAGGCAGAGTATCTGGAAAGAGCCCACACAGACACGGGGAGAACATTCAAACTCCACACAGAAAGGTCTCAAACTGGATTTGAACTCAGGACCTTCTTGTCATGAGGCGGAAGTCATCACAAATATTGTTCTAGCGACACAAAAAAATAATAAGATTTTAATTTGCCATATTTCTACAGGTCAGAGGGTCTGATTGATAGCAGGAGGGGCAAAAAGATTACTTTCTGTGTGATTCAAACTGCTAAATTGTAGTTGGCATGCTGTGTTCCAATGAAGCAAAATTGCAGATAGAAGTGCCTTGCTATATAGACTTTGTGGGACTATTAATGTAGGTGTACTGTGGGAACAAACTGGTTGGACACTACTGATCTGAACCAAGGGCTCATTAAAGCTTCAATTATTTGAAACAAATTCGTTCTGGTCCTGTCTTTGTTCTGCTCATTGAGTTTTTGTGTGATTTATTTTTCTTACAGGGTTGTCCAGCAACTTGCACAAAGAACCCAAGTGTGAAAGAAGAAAAGGAGCCAAAGATCTTTTTGTTTTTTTTTGGGGGGGTTTTCGTTTGTTTATTTGAGGGGGGGAAAAGGTGTGAATGCATCTAACCATGTGACATCCAAACTCTACGTGGCTTTCTTTAGGAGACGCAGTATGGGAAAAGAGCTCAACCTGCAGAGAATTTGGAGGTGGAAGACCCAATCCCAGCAAAAAGTGGTGACACCTCGGTGACATACACGGGACTTCCATGTGGAATGAGTTGGTTTTGTGCCCTTAATGACACAGAGACTGACAACAGGAGTCTCAGAAGATCCAGGGGACTCCACTTGGTTTTTTGAGTTATTTTCCTAGTAAATAAAAGGCTAGACATCTTTTTTTTTTTATGATTTTTCTTTTTAATAGCAGCTTTTTTTTTTTTAAACAAATCCCAGCTGGACTTTAGTTTGATGTTAAACGGCTTCCCACAACTGGTTTAAAACTGAATTTGTTTGTTTAGTTGTTTTCCCCTGTGGACTAAGTTTGAAATGCTGGAACTCTCCCTCCTGCCACTATCCTCAGTTTCTTCCACCCACCCAGTGCCTAAATAAGCCTTCTCGGGAGGATCACAGAAGTCATCAGCAGCTGCTGCGCTCAATCCTCTGCCTGTTCTCCTCCATGTGCTTCTGCTCTCGGCCTGTTGGCTGTACACCCACTACCTCTTTAATTTTTCTGGTCTTTTCATTTTCACTGAGCGGGATAATCAGAACTGAAGCCCAGTGATGGAGCATTAATGTAAACCCTGAGCTGTTCCAGTGTTTTGTGCGTGAGTGCTGGTCCTTTCGCGTATATGCACAGCAGTGTTACGTTTGCACTGGTGCCAGGGAGTAACAGTAGAAGATTAGATTTATTTATATTGTTGCACCAAATACAGTTCCATTAAAGCCATACAAAAATATTTATGAATTACCTATACATATTTTTGTATCACACTGCTCTTGTATAGTTTTGCTTTTATAAGCTTCTATTAAGGTTATGCACACAAATATTTACAACAAGCTGTACACAGCAGTTTGTATATTGCTATGTAAAAAAAAATAAAAAAAAATCTGTTTTTAGTGATTATATTAGTACTGGGAGACATTTAGTTTCTGGACACAGAAAACCCCTAATGTTTCCCTTTATTTGCTGCTTTGCATAGTGTTGGTTTTCTTTTCCAGTCAGTAGCTATGGCCCCTCCTCCCAGACGAACGCCACATATGTCATTTTGACCTGGAAAGCACCCCTTTACAGCAGGTAGACAGTAGATAGCTACCTCTCTCTGTCTTCCTCCACCCTCTCTCTATCTCTGATGCCTGGCTTCAGCAGTGGGGGGGTTGGGGGAGGAGTAGGTGGCGTTGCTTCTGCTCCTCCCCGTCCATTTCGACCCAGCCGGTACGTCCCGGTGTCTGCAGCCACCACTTTCCTTGTCGGAGCCACAACGCTCTTCTTCTGCTTCACGTGAGTGTTTCTTGGTTTTGTTTCATATCAAACATGGGTTTTAAAGGGCCTACATGTGTGTACATACACGTGTTTGTACATGCTGGAGCGTCCACATGCATTATGTTCAGTGTTAAAATAAGCAGTTTTTTTTTGCTGTTCTTTTAATGTTTTTTCATTCAAAGTAAGTTGACAGCTTTTCAGGAACATTTGTTCATAGTTTATCGCAGCCACACCTGTCACCTCCCCAACACAAACACAGTCTCCTATTTCTGCCACTGAGCAACTTCTGTGGGCAGTTGTTTAGCTTGCACATAAGCTTATAAGAAGTTGATGATGGAGTGTGAAATGTTACTTGGTTACTTTTTTTCCTTTCCACATCTTACCACTAAGTGTGGGGATTGGTGGAAGCTTGTCTAACTGTAATTTTGTTTCCATCCTCCTTAACACTCTCCAGGTGCCCATGGTTGTCAGAGCATTTCTCCTCTGTCATTCCTATATATAATGCCGTAATCTTCCTCTTCACCCTCGCCAACTTCTGCATGGCCACTTTTATGGATCCTGGAATCTTTCCCAGAGGTGAACTTCTAGAAAGTAAAATGTCACGTCCTAATGATGCATGTGCAATACTTTTAAAGTACATGCAAAATAAGACTATTTGTTGGAATACTCACTGCCTATAAAGTAATTTAGAGAGACCGTGTGAGATGGTTATTAGGTGATTATGATACAAGTTTAATCTCAGGTTGTCTGTGTCTGCAGCGGAGGAAGATGAGGACAAAGAGGATGACTTCCGCGCTCCACTCTATAAGACAGTGGAGATCAAAGGCATCCAGGTGCGCATGAAGTGGTGCTCAACATGCCGCTTCTACCGACCACCGCGCTGCTCGCACTGCTCAGTGTGCGACAACTGTGTGGAGGTACATAATTATACATTTATCCCTGCTTAATAATGTTGACTGGGTATTCTTGTGGCTCTAAATTAGAAATGAATTGGTAGTATCATACAGCAATGAGTGAACTTCATTAAAAATTGGATAATGTTTTGTAATTATGTATGCTAAAAATCTTTTAATTAAAATTTCTGTTGTTGCCTTGGTTATGCTATTTCTTTTTTAACCTATAAACTAAATGGTAGGGAAACACAATCTTGGAAATCTGATGTTTCCATGAGTTTTAGCACTTAATGTAATAAAATGACCTAAATGACTGTTATATATTCATGTTAAAATGTCTTTCAGTTTTAATAGCAAGTCCTAATTTCACAGTGGGCTTCTATACACTCCTGTGTGGTTTCACTACACAGCCTAGATCTGTCCTATTCTTAGTTTTCATGTGTGAGTGTGGGAGGTGGAAATTGTGTGGACATGCAATATGATGTACTGTAGTTGTTGCTTATTCTTATCGTTTCCCTCTGAGAGATATCTTTTAATCTTTTTATTTATTCTTAGGATTTTGATCACCACTGTCCTTGGGTGAACAACTGCATTGGTCGGAGGAATTATCGTTATTTCTTCCTATTCTTACTTTCTCTCACAACCCACATCATGAACGTATTTGGCTTTGGCTTGGTTTATGTCCTGCACCACCAACAGGAGTTGGACACGCCAGGTGCTGCTGTTACGTATCCTTTACTTGGCATAAGTCTGTCATAGAAATGCACAACACATTATGGAACTCTCAAACACAAAACACATCATTGGAATAGATTTTCCTGTGTCTTATGACAGGGGTTTTTCTTTTTGTGATTTCCTTGACAACCCCCCCACCAGTATGGGTGTGATGTGTGTGGCTGGCCTGTTTTTTGTCCCAGTCGCTGGTCTGACTGGGTTTCACATAGTGCTGGTGGCTCGCGGTCGAACCACAAATGAACAGGTACATACCAGAGGTGGTTGTGCAAATCACGGTCTGCATCACTGAGATAAGTCAGGCATGCTTTACACTGGTTAATGTGTTTTTGTTAGGTATGCAACTGTTTTATCTCGCTCCCTCTGCGTAGGTGACAGGGAAGTTTCGGGGAGGCGTTAACCCTTTCACCAACGGCTGCTTGAGGAATATTACCCATGTACTCTGCAGCTCCCAAGCCCCCAGGTCAGCAATCTTTCTTCTCTGCACTCATCTATTTACTCCCCCCCGTTTAACACTCAGCTCTGCAGTTATTCCTTTTCCACTACCTCTTTCTTTCCATTGCTCTCTTTCCCCTTCCACTTTTCCACCCTACTCTTTTATAGTTCATTCTGGTCTGTTGAGGTAATTAAATATCTAATGCAGACCTTTGGAGTGAGTGGGTGAGGTGTTGGTCAACAGAGCTGGGTTGTATCTTTTTGAATACGTGTGTGTGTGTGTGTGTTATAGATACATAGGTCGTTGGCGGGGCCGGCAGATGGTGGAAGTTCAGCCACCTTTTCTTAGACCTGCTCTCACTGAAGCTCAACTAGAAGCCAAGGTCTTGGACAACGGCATCCAGAATGACCGACATAGCACTAGGGTGAGTTATAATGAATTGAACAAACACATGCAGTCTGTACAGAGAAGTCTGGATATAAATGGCCTGGTAAATGGCCTGTATTTGTATAGCGCTTTATAACAGCTCCACAGATATGCTATATGTCTATATTATTACTGTGGTATGAGTTTTAGAGAAGAGAAATCTGGTGCACAAAATATTTCATCAATTTTAATTTCATGTTTAAATATTAAAAGGTCAGAAGCAACACAGAAACTCTGGTTGTTAGCAGTCAGCTAATGTAGTTTATATTGGTGCTGCAGCTGCTGGAAAGTAGCAGCAGGTGTAGTTTTGCAGACCATACTATTAGTAGAGATTGAATAACTTAATAGTAGTCTTCTTCTTCTTTGTGTTGTTTTGTCAGAATTTTCCAACAAGAGTGATTCAAGAGTTGTTGATCACCACTAGCTGAAATGCATGTGAATGGTTTAGGGCTGCATTTCAGCTAGTGGTATTGGAGATTTTGTTATAATTAATGGAATTATGATTGCAGAAAAGAATTGCACGATATTGAGCCACATTGAGCTACTTGTGGAAAGCATCTTAATGGTAGTGGCTTTGTTTGTGATAGTACTCCCAAAAACACTGCAAATACAGTAAAAAATATCTGGATATAAAAGGAAACAAAAAAAAAACAGCAGTGTGATACTAAGAGTCATGGATTGGTCTCCCCAAAGTCTGGAACACTCTACGTGTGTTAGGGATGAGTGGGATCATCTTGACAGAGAACAGATCAAAATGCAGCTAACATGCAAAGAAGAGTCCTTCAAGAAGCCTGGAGAAGTGCTCCTGAAGACTACTTGAAGAACATAGTAGAAAGCTGCCTGTGTTGAAGAATAAAGGTCATTGTACCAAATATTAACTTGTTAGTATTACCATGTATCACCGTCTATGTTGTGAAACTGCGTGTTTTGAGAGAGGTGTGTGTCTGTCGTGACTCAATAGCATGGAGGGCAAAACTCAGAACATTCAAGAGTTTGTGTGATGGAAGATGCTTTTTTAAAAAAAATTAATTATTTAATTATTTTACATTTTCCCCTCAGTCATTGGGTGTCAAACTTTCTTTTCTTTTTTTAATGTTTGGTTATGAGAAAAGATAATTCACTCCCACAGGATCCTGAAATTGTCTGCAACATTAATCAGATATCAAAACCTGGAAAACGTTACAGATGTAGCCCTCTGTTCCAGGCAGTCTGATTTCACTGAATGGCTTTTTGTTTTCGGTCCTCATCCTTTCCAGTCCAAGAGTAGTCTAGATCAGATGGAGAGCCAGTCAGCGGATGCAGAGGCTCCACCTCCTCCAAAGCCAGAGCTTCGTTACCCTGGCCTTCCCCGTGCTGACACAGAGGGTGAGATGCACATACAAATGCATAATTGAACCTAGGATTCCACTTTGTATGACAGAATATGCAGAGAGAGTTCTTAGCTTTTGTGTAAATAGATGAATATTTGTTTTCTAATCATAAACAGACCTTGTTCAAATGTCACTTTTGGTTTCTTGTCACTCAGAGAGCAGCTTGCTGACTGAAGCACCACCTACGCCATCAATGTATAAGTACCGGCCAACCTTCAACAGCCCAGGGAGAAACCACACTGCACTCACACATCCCAACAAGGTAGATCTTAGTTTACAGACACCTTAAAGTGCTCTGTGTAAACCATGTACGAAAAGGAAAAAATAGCTGAAGTTAATTACATTTAAAACGCAGACATAATCAAATCAAAATACCATCTGCACACAGCCTTGTTGATTTATACATAGCTTAATGAGGAAAAACTCACAGATGTGCTCAAGCTTAATGCGTGAAACAGGGGAAGCGTTGGTGGCTTATATGCCCTGCCCCTCTAAATCCTTAATGGTTAATACATGCCCCTTTTTTTTTTTACTTTAAATTGTTCATTCAGTGGCCATCGGTTGATCAGTAAGTCTCAGTACGTGTGTATACCTGTATCCCTTTGGCTGTCTCTGTGTGTTTGAATGGATCTGTCCTTTTCCCCTGAGACTGCATTGACTGCAATGTATAGTTCATGTTCCATATGTTTTTGTATTTCCATTCATTTGTTGACACACATAGTCTTTGACATGCAGTGTTAGTGCTTGTTGAAACCAGTCAATATTCCCAATCCAGTAGTGTGATGATTGAGTAGCACACCGGTCAAGCATCCAGTTCTCCCCACCACTCTTTTATTTTTATTTTTTTTTTTTCCCCTGTTTAAAAATCTCTACAAAATTGCTTTCTGTTCTCTGCTTTCTATTCCCACGGCAAGGTGGTAATTTTCATCTTTCTCCCTCCCCTCTTTACTCCTGCTTTCATCTTCATCACACTTTTCCTTACCCTCTCCCCTTTGGTCTGTTTCTCCTCCTCTCTCCTCTTCAGATGATCCGTGGAGAGAGTCTTGACTCTCCATCTCCTTCCATCCTGCAGTCCAGCCGCCAACCTAGCTACCGCTCTGAGCCGAGCAGCTTGGATGGAACCACAGTGGTGGGGGGAGGTGTAGGGGTGCGCAGAGGGGGAGGGGAAAGGGGCGAGGGCCCCGGAGGCCCTGGCGGGACTGCTGGTGGGGTGTTAGGGGGCATGTCAGGTTACTCCCTGACTGGGCGCTCCTACACCTCCTACCCATCCTCTCTGGTTCTGTCCACTGGTGGCTCACACTCCTCCAGCCTGCGCTCAGCACACACTGCACATAACCCGCTGGCCACGCTCCATTCAGAGGGCACCACAGACACCAGCTACAAAAGCCTGGCCAATCAGACACCTCGGAATGGCAGCCTGTCCTATGATAGCCTGCTGACACCATCCGAGAGCCCAGAGTTCGAGTCAGCCGCCCACGAGCTGTCACCACAGAAGCCTCATGCTCCATTTCTCTCTTCAGCTGTAAGGGGCCAGACTGAGGTGGTGTCACCCAGTACTCCGCTGCAGGGCTACACGTCGCCCTTTCTCTCAGCTCAGATTGCCCAGCAGAGGGAGGGGCAGCTGCTCCAGGGCTCTGCCACTTTCTCCTCCCCCCACAAGGCCTACCTGCGTGCTGTCAGCCCTCCCCTTCCCTCCTCCGCTGGGCCACTTGAGACCCACCACCTGCTTCAGCATAACCAGGACTTCTCTTCCCGTCCCCCTCGTAACCCTTCCTCCTCATCCTCTTCTCCTGGGGCTCGATCGCTCGAGCCCCCTGTCTCCCCGCCTCCTCGTGGCCTCTCCCTAGGCAAGTCCCTGCCTTACAATATGGAGGCAGGGCCTCAGCACAAGCCTCGGCTTGCAGGAGGAGGTGCTGTGCTGGGAGGGGGAGGAGGGCAACAGGCTACACAGTGAGTAGTGATCCGTCGCCAGATCCGTCAGCCTGCTACTCTTCTTCCTCCTTCTCCTTTTCCTACTCCTCTTCCTTCCTGGTTTGTGTCAGCCGTCCTCTTCTTCCATGATCTGTGTGAGTCTTCCTTTTCCTCCTTCATGTTTTACTTAGTCTTTACCTGTTTAGTGCTTGAATAGTAAACTGTGTCTGTGTAAGTCTTTTTGGTTTAGTTGTCGGAATGTGACATGTCTGCCCATGCTGCTGTGTTTTGCCTTGTAGTCTTTTGTGTCTTTCCCCTGTCCTCACTCAGTGTAGTTACCGAATGCCTTACAAGATCTCGTGTAAAGAAACTTCTGCGGTTAGTGCTTTATTTTCGAAAAAGAACCACTCACCTGCATCTCCCTCTCTTCTCTCTCTTCTCTCTCCTCTACCCTGATGTGGCTCCTCCCCTCCCGATGGCTGTCCAATCAGATCCACCTCTCGCCCAGTCTTGGCTAATCACACCACATCCAAACCAGGGGGAGGGGTGAAGAAGGTAACCGGTGTCGGAGGGACCACATATGAGATATCGGTTTAAGTGACAAACATCCCACATGATCTGCCACAAGGATGGGAGAAAGTCACTGGACAACTTCCACTTGTCTTTTACCCGAGCTGGATATTATTCATGACTGCAGGCTCCTGCTGCGCTGGACTAAGGGAGCAGGCCTGTTTGGTACTCACTTTATTATCTTTGTAATGCCACTGGCCAGTCTTATCTGCCAGCCTTTCAGATTTGAACAAACAATTAGCCACTTTGTGAGCCATAGACTGATGCGACTGTATCATCACAGCTGGGTACAGATTTGTCTATAGAGCACGCATAGCTAGTCAATGATTTGCCATTTTACTTTGGTACATTAGCACACAGAGTACTGACAACAGTGTCTGACACTCATAGAAAGGATGGCCTTTATCCAGTGGATGTAAAACTTTAAGAGGGAGGATTTCGGACTGTTGACCAATAATAATGTCTGAACGGACCACACAATCTGTATATTGATAAGAATCATGGAGTAAAGAGTCCAATCTATAAAGACAGTATCATTTTAGTTTTATAAGTCTTTTTTTAAATATTGTTTTATATAAATGTATACAGATTATTATTGGGTGAAATTGTCAGGTATTGGAGATGACTATTGATAACGGTGGCAGTTATACTGTATGTAATTATTCATGAAAGCGATTTAAAAATCAGTTGCCTGTTGAGAAATGATGGCTGCATCAGCTATTCAAAGTTTTTGCTGGAGTTTTCACTGTCCAAAGAAGAAGATGATGATGATCCTTTGGTGGACACCTGAAGTGGCAAAAAATTACAGGTTGTTTTTTTTTCTATTCTTTCTTAAAAGCCACAAAGAAATGTTAATTCTCACAATCGCAGCACAAGCATCTTTGTGGAATGTACGCTTGTAATGTTTATGCTAGAGACATTATGCAAAATCTGTTTGTAGCTTTAAGATCATCGTATGTCTTTTTGGTGTTTTTATTCTCTTTTCTTTCTGAGAGGTTTTTGTCTGTCAGTCAGTCAAGATGCTAGCAACCTTATACCTTTAACAGATGGCCAGCCAAATAGGAGCAGCGGGGAAGGGCTTATTTATTTCACCAGTGGAAAGAAACTTTGTAGTTCTGTACTTGATTTCAAACCAGTCCCAGATAGTTTTTTTTTTTTTTTTAGAGAGAATATAGACTCTGTTTTTATTTCATTAAATTTTAATGCCATGCCACTGAATATGTAAGAGGGACTGGTTTGAAATTGGCCAGTGTGTTCGTTGGGGTTTGTTTATTTTCCTTGCCTTGAGACCATTCGTAGTGAAGCATGTTTTTATTTTTTCTAATTATTTTAATTTTTTTTACACTTTTTTCTTTTAAGTATTTAGAATTTCTTGCTTCATTTGCTTTTTTTTTTTCTTGTTAAAAGGAACACTTCTCACTTTGATACCCACAGCCATGTTAAGAAAGGGATTAATCAGAAGAGGAGTGTTTGTTTTTCACGATTGGGCATTACAGAAAGCTTATTTATTTATTTTTTTCTGTAAAGGCCCACAGCAATGTTTGCAGAATGTTAAAGGGAACATGGCACATCATTTTGGGGGAGAAAGTACATGCTTGAAGCACACAAATATCACTGTTCAGTACGAGTTTTATACCCTACCAGGCTGTGTCTTCAGTGTGCATGTGACTCTTTAAAAAAAACTTTATTTTTCGGTTCATTGCTGCTTCTCTGGCGTGCATTCTTGTGAGATTATTGTCAAACGCCCATCCGGTTTCTGTGCGAGTGGCATCCAGAAAAAAAAAAAAAAATCACAAATGGCACAAAGCAGCCGTCGTACAGAGAAATAAAGAGAACCTGTGTTGACTTTTTTTTTTCTTCCCGCTCTGGCCAAGGGATGGTGGCCACTGAACAACCTGAACCTATGTGAGTATAGCAAGTAAATTCTATGTGAGATAAAATATTGCTGTTGTTGGCTGTGATGAATGGAACGAACGAGTTTCAACTATCTGTAATGAGAACATTTAAAAAAAAAATTCCAAAATGGCCTTATAAAGAATTTTTAAAAAGATGTGTGTCAGAATAAAAAGGTCAAACTGTTGAAAGAGAATGTGTCTTGGATTTTATCATTGCACGCAGTCTTACTTTGTTTCACCTCAAGCTTTTACTTTGGCTTTTCTGACACAAAAGTAAACAAACCAGTCAATAAATACAGGCAGCAAAAGAACCAATGACACGTTGACAAAAGTGGAAAAAAAATTAGCAAAAATCTTTTTTTGTTCGTCAATAACTTAGTGTAATAAAATGCTCCAAAATCGCTGCTGCTTCAATCTGCATCACACACAGATCGTTTAAATAAGATCAGCGGTTATGGGTATTTCCCCACAATAAAGACTTACAGTGTAGAGACTATTTCTTGTGGTAGTGGAGCTTGTTTTCTTCCCTTAAACTAAAAATATTTGGCTGTTACAATAAGGAAAGTTACAGAAATGTTAAGAGCAAAGCAAAGACTTGATGCAGCCCCTCTCTTCACTGGTCTTTCTTGCTCTCTTTTGGCTGCTCCATATTGTCGGTGTCAGGAGGAAGCTCCTCGCCACCCTCTTGTGGCTGAGAGCCATTCTGCTCCTCTTCCTTCAAACCATGGCTTTTGTTCAGCTTCTTGGATTTCTGGAAGAGCTCGTTGAGGTTAAACTCTCGGATGATGTTCTCCTGTGGGTGATACAAAATGTATTTATGCTGTCTGCATGTGTAAGCAAGCAGCATCTACTCAGGTCTTATTTCATGTGTTTTCTTACAATCTGAATAGACGTACCTCGTTCATGGTCCAAGATACAGCTCTACCTTTGCTGTCCACCATTGGACGCCTCATAACTTCCCGTCCTCCTTGAAAAAGCAGAACTGAAGGTAGCTGCTTGGCCAGAGGAGAAGTACTAACCCTGTACCTGTTCAGAAAGACAGTTAATACCAGTCAATAGAATTCTAGAAAGAATCGAGCAATACTGGATAATTAAAGATCATTTATTAAAGGCAAAAAAGCCCCCCAAAACTGACTTCTTTGAAACCTCTTCATAGCGACCAATGTCTATCTTCCCAAAGCGGAGTCCAGTACAGTTGTAGCTGCATAATATAAAGGAAGACACATGAGACAAATATACAGCTGTTTCTCTAACATGAAGTAAATTACATTATCTTGCATTTGAAGTGACTCTACAACAGGTACACCAGCAACAATCAGGCATAATGTATCTGCAAGGGTATTGTTTCAAAATGTTAACTAACATCTTGGATCTTGGTTTTTTTTTTAGTTTTTTTTTTTACATAGTGTCATTTCTGTTTTCAAATAAGAAACCCTGACTGAGATTAAATATCATCTAGACTCTTCTTCTTTTCTATATCAGCACATAATTAAAAAATAATTTGGTCCTTAGCAAGTCTTAAAATTTAGGTAAATGTTACCTCATATGAACAATACCACATGACATGTTTTACTGTGTCATTAATTAACAAAAGTGCAGAAGCAGTGTGTGATAAACTAAGCACATCCTTACAGCTTCCATAAGAAATTAAGAGGGTAAGTAGCAGTTGGGTAGCAGATCCATAAAAACAGATGTTTTGGCAGCTTTTCTGGTCTGAAGCATTCAGGTGCGTATCAACACACACCTGTCTTTCCTGCTAAGGAAAGTCTTCACTCAGGGGCTGCTGCTTAGGACATGCAGTTTGCCCTTCGTGCCTCCCTCTTTGAACTTTTTGTTAAACCCTGTTCATAGTGTTGAACTTTGCTTGTTAACCCCGGTATATGGGTGAACTGAGTTTGATTGGAGTTTTGTGATGCGAATTTGCCTTAGTTAAACCTTAACTTTTACCCTCGTCTGTGTTATCGTATTATATGTTAACTGGTTGCACAGTGGCCTGCAGAATGCAGCCCTGTCGGTTTTCAGTTTGAATTTCTGCAATTAAACCTTTTCTTCATTTAGTTTCCTGTGTATGTATGCTTATGTATGTTATTCCTCCCTGTCCCCTAGCAGAGGGGGTCGTAGCAGGCCATAACATGCATCGCCATGTCTGGAGACACCCAAACAAAGCTTATAAGCCACAAACACCTCAAAGCAACTGTCAAACACGGTAGTGGAGTGCTGATGATTTGGGCTTGTTTTGCAGCCACAGGACTTGGATACTCCACTGAGTGGACCATGAACTCTTCCACATGTATGCCCATCTCTCCAAAAAAACTAAAACTTGGTCAAAAAAAGGGTCATGTAGCGGGACAATGATCCCAAGCACAGCAGCAAATCTACAACAGAATGACTGCAGAATCAAAGTGTTCCGATGGCCCAGTTGAATCCAGACCTCGAAGCATTCATTCAAAGTCAAATTTATCTTTATAGCACATTTAAAAACAGCTGTTGACCAAAGTGTACACCTAAAATAATCAAATTACATAAAAACATAGGACAAGATGGCAGAATTTAAGAAAGGAAACATAAAATGAGAAAACTTAAATAAGAAATAACACAAATAAAAATGTTTTTTTACCAAAGTATCATAGGTGAACAGAGACTACCACTGGATAAACTGTAAAATGTACATTGTTTTTATCCTTTTTAAGCTCATCAGTCTGTTTATCTGTGTATTTTCTGCAGCATTTGTCATGACCTGTCAGCCACCTCTCTACATGGGCCCAGAGTACATCAAGTACTTCAGTGACAAGACCATCGACGTGAGTCCTGTCTGATATCAGCTGACCATTTGCATGTATAGTAGTGCCACTGGTCTTTGTAATGATAGATAAAAACAAAAGAGGTGGGAATTACATACAGTTACATCAGTTGGGAGTGTTATTTTATTTGAAAGTTCATGGAGTGATTGAGTCTATTAATCATTTTGTTTGAAATTAGAGCAGTTTCCATCAAACACTGAAATCCAGTTATATGATATTATATTAATTGTATGTCTGACATTTAAAAATTCCTAAACTAAAATACCAAAAAAAAGCGAACTCTCTAACTGATCATGCCCTGCTCAGAGGGGTGGGTTGGTTTGAGTGTAACTTTGTGTTCTTCACTCATTAGGAGGAGCTGCAGCGGGACAGTCGTGTCACATGGCTCGTTGAATTCTACGCCAACTGGTCCTCGGATTGTCGTCGTTGTCCCATCTTGTTCTCTCTCTTTT